CCGCCCAAGAAGTAAAAGTAATAGAAAATATGGGAGAAGAAACTTAAGGTTAGAAAAATAAATTTAGAAATAATGTCTGTTAGAGGAAATAAATTGGACTCGTGCTAAGGGTTAGCTACAACTCTAATGGCCAAAAACTTACTGCCACTTCAACCAGTAAAAACTTTCTCATTTTTACTTACAAAAACGTGCTACAAGATTTTATCATTTCAAATTTTTTAAAAGAATACCCACATACACGCGCGGCTGACCAAGGTTAGCGTGCTCGGAATCTGGGTCCGAATGTTCAGGGCCTGTTGCCGCAAAAACGCGCTCCGCACTTTCGAGATCTGGGTACTTTATAAGAGTGACCGTCAAATTACAGTACAATATTCGGTCACGCAAGACTATCCCAGAAGTTGACGGTGAATTTTGTTGTGTGGCTGTCTTCTCTCATGTTGTTGATTAAAACCAAACAAAACTTTAAATCTTCAAACTTTTATCTTCGTTATTTGCTTCAACGGTTTCGTGACTTTAAAGGGGTGAGATAGACTGAAAACCAATGAGCAGACACAGTTACTGTGAACAATGACACGATAGTTTTTTCTATACAATGTTCTACAAAGATGTGTGTGTGTGTTTGTTGTTGTTTCAGTATTTTCTCGCAAAGCTTCAAAAGTGCTTCCTGCGCATAGCCGTTACTAATATTGAACTGACGGACTAGAGAGAAGACAGCCACTTTACTTATATAATTTGGTTGTATAGTATCAGGAAAATTGGTGTATATATTTGTTTTTTCTTACTAGTATTTATTTCAATGATTCATTTTCCGTGCACACCAGAATATATCTGTCTTATTCGTACATTCAGACAGTTGACTGTGTTGCCTACTTTTCCCATGTAAACAATGATTTTTACGATGCGTGGAAGTTTGTTATCGATATGCAATATTTACATTGTTAGACGGGGAGCTTTCAATTGGTCATCTTTAGATCGACAGACAGCACAAAAATATGGACGGACAAACAAAGTTGGGGTACAAGTTACAGTGAAACGTTATCCTTGTGGGTGAGAAATCTGCAACGTGTAACTCTACTTCGCTGATGTTTTCCATACATCCTTATCCTAAGAAAATACATTCAAGACTTACAAGTTTCAATGGTAGCAGAAAAAACAACAACAATTTCCAATCGTTTCCAGGCTATTATCAACCTAAAGAATAAACTGAACATTTTTATCCCCTATATTCCAAGTCATAATTAGTATTTAATGTTTTAGGCTTCGTTAACCCCCCGGCCCGGCATGGCCAGGTGGTTAGGGCGCTCGACTCGTAATCTGTGGCTCGTGGGTTCGAATCCACGTCACACCAAACATGCTCGCCCTTTCAGCCGTGGGGGCGTTATAATGTGACAATCAATCCCACTATTCGTTGGTAAAAGAGTAGCCCAAGAATTGGCGGTGGGTGGTGATGACTATCTGCCTTCTTTCTAGTCTTACACT